TTAGGTGTTAGACTGGAAAACTTCACGTGGCCAGCCCATTAATCAGGTGCGAACCCATAACAAACTACCAGTATTTTCATGGTTTTATCTGCTCTGTCACGGGTGGGATCAAAATTAACGGAGAAGAAATTCAAGTTAACATCAATAACATCATTTATTAATCTAAATTGCTTCCATTTGTTAAAATTTATATCAAGAAAAATAGTCAAAGCTATTATATAGCAGTTTTGTTCCTTTTATGCTTGCTTCGTCATAATAATTTCACTTTAAGAAAACATACCAATAATAAAAATTTCTAAATTTAGATAACACCATTAATTATGCTTACTAATGTTAATTTTGCTATAAAAAATTAACACAATTAACGGAAAAGTTGTTCTGCCATCTAGTGAGAGAAAATAAAATAAAATTCATATATTGCCTGTCGTTTTTGCTTAGTTCGAGCTAGTGGGCAGAATTGTGGTTTGCAGAAGTGTAAAACTAGGAAACTGTTACTTGTTCAATATCTTAAAATTCCATGTCTTTTCACGTGGAAAGTTGATTTCGCGATTATTGAAATGAAAGATAATTATTATCTCTGAGGATTTTATTGTAAAATCTATTTTTAATTTGATTTTTTAGATTTCTCGCGGAACCCGTATGAGGTTTTTGTGGAACCTTAAAATTCCGCGGAACATAGTTTGAGAACAGCTGATCTAGACAACAAGGATCGTTGATTACTTGAACGTAGAATTTGTAAAATTAAAATTAACCATATTCTGTTACATGTGTTAAAATTTTAGTAGCACATGTTAAAAAGCCAAAGAAATTAGACGTAAGTGGAAAAACCTTTGCAGAGGTGCAAGTAGATGCAAAAAACTTTATATACTAATAATATAAATAATGATCGATGACTAAGAAAAACAAATTCGTAATAGATCTTTGTTAGACAATTTTATAACAAAAGTTGTAGAAAACTGAAAATATATTAGAACAACTTGTAATTAACCTAACTTAATCTACTCAACTGATACCAGTGACCAAACGGTCTTCTGTTCCCTGAACACTGGGAGTTCGGTTGTGGGTTCGCGCCTCGTTCTGACGGGCTGGCCATGTGGAATTTTCCGGGTTTTCTCCACGTCTGTAACGCCTAAATAGGGGCCAGCTTCCCTTAAAAAGACCTCCCGGAAGGCATCGCTCTAGGGTTGCGATTGCCATAAACAAACAAACTAAACTGATAACAATAACCGAATGGTAATATAATGCGGAGCAAGTAAATAAGGCTACAATTAGAGGAAATTCTGATTTTGTCAACTTTAACATTAAAATAATATGTTAAAGCAATAAAAATGCAGCTTGAATTTTTATTAATTATATCTATTAATAGTCTTGGAAGTTATAAAGGATACGGNTTTTAGTAGGAAAATCATCTTTTAAGTAGAAAACCTTGAAACAAACTCCAACAATTGGATGATGGATCGAATTCGAAATTTAAGGGAATTTCCACTTCATTTTTTTTTTGGATCATTTTCAGGTCACATTTTTTGACATTGACTGATGACTGACTATCATCACGTGACGTAATAGTCGGTGCCAGTCACGTGACTCACACTTGACCCATTTGCGACGGCAAAATCGAGTTTGATTCGTTCACCTGTAATAAAATCGAAATGAATTATTATGCAAATGTTAAAAGTTCTTAATCGCAAAAAAATATAATAATATTTTGGGATAAACCGGAGAGAAAATATATTACAAATATGAAGACAGAAATAAACTTATTAACACATTTTTTTCTATTTGTTAAAATTGGTCCTCATTTGTATGTAAAATTGCACAAAAATTATAAAAGTATAATCTATCATTTTGATTTTTATCTAATATTAAATTTATTTCTTAAATATACTGATTAACTTTTTGATGTGAAAGCGTTCAATAAATTTGAAGTAGATATCGAATTTATATATTGTATAGGCCTATATATAGTATATTTTACAATGTGAAAAATATGAAAATTCGATTTTGCTCATACACAAACATACAAAACAAACTCAACCCACATAAAACATATGCAACACACACAGAAAAATATCTAACATATTGTATAAAGGTCTAAGCAGTGGCTCCTTATCTTATAGGCACAAAAGGCAATTAATTAATTGCCTGAGGCCCTAAACCAATATTTTTCAAAAAATTTCTCTCGAAAAAAGTTGTCGGAAGTCAACACTGTACATGGGGCCCTCTAATGAAAATTTGTCTAAGCCCCACGAGGCTATAACGTGCCACCGAGTCTAAGTATTATTAAATTCTAATTGTGATCGGTTAGTCAATGTTAAGGACTTTCATTACGTCTTCGATTGATCACGTGATATATCTGGACAAAGGAAAAATACAATTAACTCACTGCATTTCCGATTATTCAGCAGAGTATAAATTTAACGTTTTCAAGGTTTTCTTCTAAAATTTTCAGACTATTACGAATATTACCACCTACAGATTCTGTCATTGTTATGGCAATTAATGTTATCGCGACAACAATTGTGTTTTTAATGAATTAAGAAAATGTGGAAACATAGTCTTAAAATATGTCTTTAAGTACGTCTGGCCTGTGACAGTATAATAGACTGGACAGTAATTAGTATATCCATTGCATAAAAAAGGGTGGGTTTAATTGCTTTACAGGTAGTGGGTCATTGATAAAAAATAAATTTCCCTTTCCGGAAAAATTCCCTACCAACAGAAATACATTTCCCACTAAAACTTAATTAGTGGAAAAATATTTCTAATCAGTTCTATCAGATTGATCTTAATATTAATTCGTCTCGAAATAAACTTTTGCTTAATTATTTTAATTATTTCAGGAGCTGCATCCGCTTTTACGTCCGTCATAAATAATTTTAGAAATCACATAAACGCCTGTAAGTTATTTCGATTCTTTGCATGATTACAGTGACTAGAATATTGTAATGTTCGGGTGTCTGAAATATGTCTTTTAGTATCTTTTTAATATTCAAAGATCATTCGCATGCGACCTTCAACTGAATAATAGAGAAACAAGAAATATATCTAAGCCAGACGCTACGACAATAGATATTTTAACCTACATTTTGTGGATCTTCATCATCTATCTTCATTATCCGTCGTCGAGTTCAGGGTCTTTTAAAACACGATATAATTACGAAAACGACTTCCTGTATTCTGTCAAAATTTTTATTTGTAACAAATAAACAATGAACTATATATCTTCTTTGGTTTATCTATAGAGATGGAAACCAAGAATATCAATTTGTTACTGCGTATTTGGACTATTAAAATCAAAATTTTGATGATACGCGTTGCATATTCAATAGATAAACAGAATCGGGTCATATATATGTTAAATCTCTTAATGATTTCTTTTCCTTGGATAATATTTGATGATATCGAAGCTTGTATTAACTCGGAATTGCATTCTATCCGAAGAAGAAGAAAAGATAATTTTGCCATTATCACGAACGTTCTACATAAAAACAAAAGACATATCGCACTCATCAGCAATGCATCATCATCTTGACGAATACTGACACCATTCTCTGAAATTATATACGAGTTTTAAAACCATAAAAACTCGTTTGAATAACTTTAAAACTTTTAAAATTTTAATTGTGATTAAATGTTTTTTAAATAACTGGCATTACCTCAAAATATATTTAAGATATTTCATTTTGAAATTAGTTAGTATTTAATGGAAGATGAAGCTATTTTCAATTTGAAATTTATGAGACAAGATATTAATATGCTCATGATTCATTCGGATTCATTTCAGACAGCTTTATTTATAAGTTACAATGTCAGTAATAAATACTTGAAAATCGAGTGTAACAAGTAAGTTTCTTTATTTGCTACAAACCATTTTAAATTCAAGATAAATATCAAGATTTGATTCTAAAATACTTTAGATTCAGCCGTCAAAACATTTAACTTACTAACTAGTAAGTTACGTATTATCATCACTCTTACAAATTTACGATTATTTTTCCTTATATTTTAATTTAAATTGTCAAAACTTTATTATGGATCTTTAAAATCATTATAATTATAAACTTGTTTTAGTACTTTCCTCCATTCTCTAGCTTATTATACAATAATGTTGTTAATTTTATTGTGTAATATTCTGCTTTTAAGCGTTACACCCATAATACGACAACATTCTCTTCAAAAATTCTGTATTGCTCTAGAATCACTAAGATAAATACATTTTAAAATGGAATTTTTACAAAAGCGATTTATTATATTATAGTAATAAGTCGAATTTTGGTGAAATAATTTTAAAAAAATTACATTTTTTCAGTTTTGATTTCTATTTTTTTAGAGTGTTCTGTAGATTTTTTAAACATTTTTTGAAAAATTAAACCGAAAAGAATAATTAAAAATTGAAATTATTAAATAAGTTTTTATATTAATTTAGTTTTTTTTTTAAATTTCGTTTTATCTTGTTCGAAGACCATTTGTATTCAGCAGGAATTTACCTTTTATAGTATTCATTCTTTTATTTGTTCATGGCTTTTATTTGCTTTGTCGAAATAGTTTTCACGGTTGTACTTTTTTTTTTTTACTTTTTTCCAACATTTACTATCTTCTTAATAGTGTGAATAACCTCGATAATCACTGACGTCGAAAATTTTCCTTTCATTATTGTTTTCACGTGTTTAGTCACAAAACATTTTTACCTTTGCTAGTTCTTCGCCATTCTTTTACCGTTTCTTTTACGATAAATTAGTATTGGAAATATATAAAGTGTGGTAACGCATAACTAATTAAAAATAGCGTATCATAAATGAGAATAATTATAAATCTTATCACATAATTCTTAAAGTAATTTGCATGTAAAAAAAGGTCATGTAGGTTATCACATAAAGTGCTGTCTTTCTTCAAGGACGTATCCTACATGATTACCCGATTTATGTTTAAATCATGTAAAAATGGGAAATCAACTATCCTTTTTCTATTGGTAGGTTCTTTCCAACGCAATAAATGGATTTGTTACTACTGATATCATCCCGGATTCATTTTAGGGAGCGAGTTAACGCCTACTCTACGTCACGTGATCTCATAAGGACGTTTTGAAATGGTTTACATAAAATGTATAAAAGGAGAAGTTTATTGCCATTGTAGTCATTCTGTTTTGCTTAAATTAAGAAAAAATGAGAGCTTTGGTAAGTTGTTTGCTTCATATATAGATCTTACAGTTAGTTAAGTATCGCTGTTTATCTAGTTTAAACAATATTATTTAGAGTAAAACGTGTATTTCAATTGATTAAGTGACAATATAAATTTCCTTATACAATAGATATAGAATATCCTTTAAATTATAAAACATATCATAGTATATACTTTTTAGAGAAATAACTAATATAATGACATTATTTCAACTTCACAAACATTGATTTTCTCTTCCTTTCTTTAGTTGATTGCCAGCGCTTTGCTGCTTTTGGCAGCCTTGGCTTATGCCACTGGTAACTATGGTTCTTATACTGGAACCGGCTATGGATATGCAAGACCATACTATGGTGGTTCTTACGGATATGGAAGATATAATGACGGTTATAAATATGGAAGATATGGAGGATACGGCGGTTATGGACTTGGAGGATACGGCGGTTATGGACATGGAGGATACGGTGGTTATGGATACGGAAGACCATACACCAGTGGTTATGGATATGGAGGATACGGCGGCTATGGATACGGAAGACCATATGGAGGAGGTTACTACAGACCATCCTATAGTCTTGGAAGTTATAAAGGATACGGAGGTTATACTGGCTACGGTGGCTACGGTGGCTACAGTGGTTACGGTACAGGTTATGGTACAGGTTACGGTACTGGTTATGGTACTGGTTATGGTACTGGTTACGGTACTGGTTACGGTACTGGTAAACATTACGGAAGTTATACCGGTAAAAGCATCTACGGTTAAATATCATAGCGATATATATCTCATGGTAAGTGATAGTCTATATTTACTAAGTTTAAATATATTTACAATTTATTTTCTAATTTTTCAATATATATATATATTTTTTTTTTCAGACTGAACTAAAGATTCTCCAAATCCATCATTTCAGAAAAATGTTTCATCAGTTTGTAAAAAAATATAAATAAAATGATATGTTTTTAAATTAAAAGTATTAACTTAATTGTCATGTTATTATTTTTTTTACTACATTCTTATGGATAGAAGCATTAAAAATTTTAAAAATTTAATTCCTGTATTATAATGTACAGAATTATTTTTCCTGTAACAGTTTGTAAAATATTACTCGTAGTAAAAAGGCAATCAGTTTAACTAGCAGATTGTAAAGTAATATACTGTATTAACATGTTCCGAAGTTAAATAAAGTAATGTTATGTCGTTGAAAACATACAATCATCTTGAAAAATATTTACTATTATCTTAAATCGGATAAATTGTAAATGATAATAACTTTTTCTTAACCGGATTATGATTTATATATAGGCCAAAATAACAATACAGTCTCTTCAACACGCCGCTGATACAGTTAATTTTTCTCGAACAATATGAAGTTTTGTTAAATTTCAACAAAATTATAGTTATAATTTATATTATTAATAAAAATAAAAATTAATATAAAGTTGAAGCATTTAAAAAGAATGGCAGTTCCACAAAAAGGATATTTTCTATCATCAGAAACTAGCGTAATAAATGGGATTAAACGTAGAAAAGAATTTTCGCATTTGAAAGCATTTTAAAATTCTCTCTAATTATTCAAGCGAATTAGTAAAATTTTAAATTTACATTTTCGTATAAAATCCACTTACATATAAAAATTATTCATAATAGAATTTAATGCAATGTAGGCCCTATATTATTTCATATTTTTCCTGTTTGGGGATTTAATTTACTTCATAAAAGTTGAGAAAGAATATTTGACTTCAAATGTCTACTTCTCATTGTGCCACAAGATTCAAGCTAAAATTAATATAATTCAAATAGCAATATTAAAAATATTCCAATCTTTTTGCCATTATTATCTCATGCAGTTCTTTTACTTTAGACATTTTTTTTTCAGTTTAAAAGTTTGACATGTTTGTCTTAAAACAACAAATGAAATTCTTTAAAAAATATATTAGTAGCCTCTAAATATCAGTCGTTATAAAGTTATTAATAAGAATATTAAAAACTCTTACAGAAAAACTCAATCAAATAATGCTGGAATGTTTCGGCTATATTCACAAGAATTCATGCTTTTCTTAAAGTTTTCTTTTGTAAAATGTTTTAATATTCGACAATATTCACTATAATATTATATATATAAAATCTATATATAGAATAATATAGTTTGAAAATGCAAACTATTAAAATATAGCCTATATACAGTGTTTCATTTTAATAAGCCAATAGTTTAATAATTTTTACAACAAATAAATAAACAATAACTAAATTTTATAGTAACACGAGTCCACAAGTGCAACATTAAATTAAATAACATAAATTAAAACAAATATGAAAAATATATTGAATGTTTATTAAAACAGTTTGTTTTATATCAGCATTCTAAGTAAACAATATTTGTTATCAGCAAAAGTTACAAACAAATGATTCATTTAGAGAATAAAGTTTAAAATGTAGATCTATAATTACTAAAAACTCTTTTTTCAAGCCGTTTGCCCGTTGAACAATGAACATTTCAAGAACTTATTAAATTTCGTGAGTATTCTTCAAGCGCTTACAGAATATTAACGAAATTCAATATGGCAATTACTGTAAAGCACAACTAAATTCTAGTAAAGAGGGTTTTTTTTGCAAAATAGAAATTCAGATTTTGCAACAGTATTTAAATACATAGACTAAACGAAACTGTCCAATCTCTCATAAAAATTTTTGATATAAAACTTTAAAGTAATAAAAACATGAAAATATCTTGAATAAATGCAAAAGTTCTGTTGCCGTTTAGTTTAACAAAATTCGAAAACACAAATTCAAACATTATAAACAGCAATAGGAGACTAATATATAATCGATTAGGAAGTACGGAATATAATATTTATAATAAAATTAAATAATTTTTCATTAAAAAAAGCAAAATTATATTCTTGTTTTACCTTAAGTTGTCTTGGTAAAAGAAATTACAAGAATAATTTCAAAAGATATTGAAGCGGAGATTGAATAATTTCAACAAACTGAGTGAAGTCATAAGTTTGAAAATTTACGATTACAGTATGGTCAGATGTATTTGATAGATGAAAATAAAGTTTATTTATAAATACTGTATAATTACACACGCCTATAATGAACGGTAAATAGACATGGTTTACAGAAAATCTTGAATTCGAAAACAAAATTCAAGAAAAAAATTTTTTTAATTTTTTGCATTACTTTATTTTCTTTTAATTATAGTGTTCGAACAGTGTTGGACATACCGAGCTATAAAACTAACCAACAGCTGACGGAACTTCCTGTCCGCATGTGATACTTCATTGATGTCCACGTGACATACGACTTTGTGGTCGCCGACTTGGTAAAGGATGCCGCTTTGAGGAAAACCGGAGACGGTAGAGAATTATCTGAAAAAAACCCCGCCTCCCAATTATTATTAGAAGGGAAAATGCTCTACTGGTAAAAACCACCAACAGATAACCCAATTAAAGCTCAGACAAGAAAATACCTGTCTGCATCCCTCCCCTGTAATGTCCCATCAGAGCGGTCATTCTGTACCACAGGGAACATTTAAACAGACAATGGCACTCGTTTCGGCTGAGAAAAACTAGAAATACTTGTATATTTAAACTAGAACGTGTAAATGATGTAATTGATGTAAATGTTTAATGGCCTAATTATGGTCTTTAATAATCCAAAATAAAAAGTAGGAATAGATTTCTCTTGTAGTCTATTCTATAGACCAATGTGCTTTCATTTATTATCAACAACTGTAGTGTGTGGACAGAAGCAAGTATTGAATCAGCAAAATTTAGTGTCATATCAAGTCTAATTTACATTTCTTGTAGGAAGATAAAGCCTTACACTTGTTAATTGGATTGCTTGAGTTTATAAATTGTTTTACTTTATGAATATTGATGAAATAATTTATTAATTTGTTTTAAGTAAGTTAATTTATTCATATAAATAATATATATAAATTAGGCCTTTATTTTACTTTAATGATTCAAAAACAGGCGATTCGATTTGATTTTCATTAATTTACAAATAGATGCAGATGATTCTAGTAGGTAAAATTTGTAATTGCTTATAATTATGCATTATAATCGTAAGCAGAGGTACAATGGGAACAATGTAACAGAGTAGACTCGAGTCCATCAGTCAAATGAGTCTCATGGTATGTGATCATCAAAAAAGCTATATTATATCAATTTTTAAATTCCTTAAATAACACGTATGAAAACCGTCTCGTCATTCAACAATCGAGCTTAATAAGCCTATATGCTTCTGTTTTCATGGGATGACTTGTTGTCCCATGGTGACTTCTCAAACCCGCTTACACACGGATCCATTCAAATGATGTACAGTACAGTACGTTTAAAATCTATTTTCTTAAGTTAAATCCTCTACAAGATATTTATAAAACGTGTAATGATTCTAATTAACAAAATTATTTTTTTATTTTTAATAGTTTCAGAGAACAATTTTACAAATTTTGTTCATTTAAATAAATGTAAACATAAATTTTATAGTTAACACAACGCAATACAGTACAGTATTCATTATATATATAGAGTTTTCTGTACTGAGAAAATAGAGCTCGTATCCTGTCCATAATGAACGAAATTGAAGTCGGATATACAATCCACTACTTGCTAGTGCATCGCATAACAAACATTTAAACATTTACAAGTATTTATCACAATAATGTTTAGTTCAACTTCTCGAAATATTTGAACCGCAAAAGTTGTTTCTGTAATTTTTTCTTAATCATTTAATAAAAATTATTTCAATTCTTTTATATATAAAAAAAATTGAAACTAATTATATAGAAACATCGTCGAGTTATGCCTGCCGGATGGTGGCGGAATACAAGTATCCAGTAGTTAATACAAGTTTCATTTCTTGCTCCATTAGATTTATTCCTCCTTGAATGACCTTTGCACTAATCTGAATGGAAATAAAATAACGGACAAAGTGTATAAATTTATATATTTTATTATTAACATTTACATTTCTAATTATTATTCACAAATTAAAATTTATGCAAATTTAACCCAGTATAAATCGATTTTTAATGGAAATGAAAATCGATTTATACTGAGTAATCAATTAAACAAAAAACAAAACAAAAAGTGCCAGTAGATGCCGAGAAAAATAGCTGTTATTTTTATTTTCCCGCAATGTGTCATGATAAAAATTTAAATGCTAAACATATATTTAATACAGACTCAATGGTTAAATAATAACATGTTAACAACAAAATAAATCATATCCAGTGGTGGATTAACCATTAGTCTGAATAGGCTTAACCCTAAGGGCCCAGAAAGGAGGAGAAAGTAAAACTAATGATTCAATTGCTATGTTATTATAATGATATTATACATTATTTAACGTAACTTAACTTTATTCTATTTAACAAAGGACGGGGCATTTCTCACTAAAACTCAGCCTAGGGGCACTGGTGAATCCGTAACTATTCAAGTGCTGGCCATCCCACTAAAGAAGTCTATTTGATTCCCTGCATATTTAACTAATTTATTCAATAAATTATCATTTGTATTCAGAACTTTTATATAATATGAATATAAAAAAAAGAATAACGTTATCAAAATAAAAAATATAAGAAGTTTTTATATTTACGACAAATAAAAGTTGGTGATCATAAAGAGTTAAAAAGAAAATTTATTGACCTGACAGGTAAATTTACTATGGTATTTCCGATAAAAGTGTGTCAAACAGAATAAAAGTGCCGGTTTTGCAGTTACCTATAAGGAAAGATCTTTCGTAAGTATATACTGTACACTTCCATCATTTTATATCATCAGGTTAAAAAACGAAAAAGTTAGCATTTTAAACAGTTTCAATGGAAACGTGACACCCAAATTTATTTTGCAAATATTTTTCTTTTATGTTTTTGTTACAAAATTGATTATACGCAACGAAATATTTTAAAATTTATTTAAACATCAGAATATCCCATTTCTGAATCTTTAGAAATATCCT